ATGGCGTAGGCTGCAGCCCCTGCTGCAGTGGGCTGCCATGGGCTACCGTGTGTAGCCGGCAGCCAGTGTGAGCTGCCAAGAGCCGCAGTCCAGAGGCCAGTGACCGATCTGCCTCACCTGGGAAGAGCGCAATGATAATACCAACATGAGCCAGTGAAGCGACATCCTCCACGACTAGACTAAAGAACAAAAGGACAGCAGCTTGTCTGCTCCCCTTCCCTGATTCCCCAATACTGTTCCCCTCCCCCAACTCCCCAATAAAATCTTAAAAAATAAAAAAATAATAAAAAACATAACTCACTCCTTTTTATTGCTGAATAGTATTCCAGCTTTGGCGTATGTATTTTTTTTTCAGATTATAAAGGTAATGAAAGCTCACTGTAGAAAACTCCAACATTGCAAAAAATGTCTGAGAAAATAAAATAATCAACCTCACTAACTGTCCAACAAATGTACATTAAAATGGTGAGATATGAATTATCACCGAACAGACTGGTAAGAATGGAAAGAGGATGTGGCAGCCAGCCTCCGCAGGCCCCCAGTGCTCCCTGACTCTGCTATTCATGCTCTCGTGGTTCCTCTGAACTGAAGGGGCCCAACCTGGATAGCCAACAGGATGTTACGGAAACGACAGTGACTTCTGAGTCTGGGTCATAAAAGACACTGCGGCTTCCACCTGCCTCACACTGGGGGGAACCAGCGGCCATGTGGTGAGGACACTCAAGCAGCCCGTGGAGAGGCCCCAACAGCCATGGGAGTGCGTCATCTGAAAAGTGGATCTGCTGGCCTCGGTCCAGCCCTCAGACGACTGGAGCTCCCCGCCAACACCCTCACTGCAGCTTCAAGGGAGACCCCCCGCCAAAGCCAGAACCACCCAGCTAAGCCACTTCTCAATGTGTAACCCACAGAAACTGAGAGTTTATAAGTGTTTACTGTTTTAAGCCATGGTTTGGGGGGTAATTTGTTACAGGGCAATAGAAAACTAATACAATGAAGATTCAACGTTGCAAATGTGTAGGAAAAACTATTTGAGTGTACTTTCTATGGGAAAGATGCTAATCCTCTGCCCGTTATCTTCGATGCAAATGTCTCATTCCTGATGGCTAACTGCTTTTCAGTTCTACAGCATGAGGCATCTCTTTTCCAACAAATACACATCCTGATTTCCCTTTGGTGTAGATGTAGCTTTCCCTACTTCCTTAAAGTTATCCACACCTGCCCACTGTTTGTTCGCCTCGCTGGGTAATCACCTCTCCCACAGTCCCAGGCCAGCTCATTTTCTGTCCTTTGAAAAGACTCAGTAACCTGAAATCCACTGTTCAAAGACAAAATGTGCTGTGCAGGCAGCTGTTCTAATACCATAAACACTGACGGGCTAATGCACACTCCTTTCGCTCCACTCGCTGGAGCGTGAAGGCAACGGCACACACACTCTCCTTTCAGCGGGCACCTCCCGATCTCTCCCAGAATCCCATGGGGTGATTACAATATTTCCAGGTCCCCAAGCCAATAGTCAGCCAATTTAGGGCCCCGCTTACGAAAGAGATCCATCTGTAAACTAACTTTGATCCCTGGCTGGAGGGCACTTATCACCACTGCATATTAGGGGGCGGGGGAGCTCATTAAAAGAAGGGGCTCAAATAGTTAAAAAGTAGGAGACGGCGGGGTGGAGAGGAGTGAGAGTACAGAGGGAGAAGTGTGAAGCAGACAGCCGCCTGCAATTATCACCACACCCCTTAAGCCCCGCTTCACAGAGGGCTAGGCTTAAGAACAAAGGGGCTGGGTTCCGCCAGCTACGTCTGCGTGACAGAGTGAATGGCCAGTTCAGTCCCAACCCAGTCACCTGGAAGGCTGACTAGCAATCGGGTATGTTGCTGGTTTTTTTTAGGTTAATTTTGGTTTGGTTTGGTTTTTTAAAGAGTCACATTGGACCTTTCCCACTTTACAGTAGGAGAAACCAGGACTTCAAGCCTGAGGCATTGAGTAACCACGCATACGCATTTAAAGGGATCAGGAAAAAGGGGTAAGCGAGAGCCTGGCATCCTGGTTCCTCCGCATTACAGACGGGACCAAGTGGGCTGCTGTCCCAGCGAGCTTTGCAGAAGCATCGCTGTGCCTGAGTCAGAACAGCCCTTTAAGAGTGTCTTATGGATAAATAGAATGTGGTCTCTCCACAGAATGGGATATTACTCGGACATAAAAAGGAACGCCATGATGTGGATGAAACTTGAAAACAGCACGCTAAGAGAAAGAAGCCAGACACAAAAGGCCGCATGTTGTAGGATCCCATTTATAGGAAATGTCCAGAGTGGGCAAACCTACAGAGACAAAAAGCAGACGGTGGTCACCAGGGGCTGTGGGGGGTGAGGAGTGGGGAGTGGCTACTGATGGGAAGGGGGTGCCCTTTGAGGGGTGATGGAAATGCTCTGGGACTAGACAGAGGGGGTTGCACAACCTTGTAAACATGCTAACGTCCATTGAATTGTACGCTGAAAGGGGGTGAATTCTGTGTCATGTGAATTTTATCACAACTGAAGAAAGAGAGAGCCTCCTAGCTCCTTCTGCTCTCTGCCTCCGGAGACTGCACCCACCAAGCACTTTCCACAAGTTTCCTGGGCTGTCCCCAGAAACTGACCTATGAGCCATCCCTGCCCCAGGTCAGAGGCGCGATCCTGGGGGACCCAGAGATGGAGTGCCGAGCAGACTCCTAAGTTAGGCCGTCTCCCGTCCCAGTATGCAAGCTCTGCCCGTTCTCCTCCCCGCAGCCAGGGCCACCATCAGATCCCAGGGTTCCCTGGCTCCTAGCCCTGCGGGAGGCCCATTGCCCTCACACAGCTCCGAAAGCAGGCCTGCTGACCTCACCGCCTGGCCCCCCAGCCACGCCTCTGTCTCGCTGTTCCCCACACCCCGGGGCTTGCTCTGGCTCAGGGCCTTCGCTCTTGCTGTTCCCTGTGCCTGAAACGGTCTCCCCCCACCTCGCATGACGCCCTCACCTTAGTCAAGCCCTGCTCAAATTTCACCTCCTCCAAACAGGCGGCCCTGGCAGCCATGCCCCATGTGGCGTCACTCCCCACGCAGTCACCTCTCCCATTACTGTGCTTTGTTTGCTCCTCCCAGCACCCAGAGCCATCTGGAAGTTTATCACATTTTCTTATTTGTTCCACTAGAACGTCAGCCCCACAAGAGCAGGGATCTCATCTGTACTGTCCAGTGCTGTGTTCCCAGCACCTCACACGGAGGAGGTGTCTGCTACAAAACTGAGGAACAAGTGGATGGGTGGATGGGTGGATGGATGGAAGGAGGGAGGGAGGTGAGGGGGGAGGGATGGATGAGCAAAAGCCTCCTTAAAGAGCAAGGGGGAGATGCAGCACTGGTATAACATCCCAAGGCTACTTATCCACTCAGCCTAAATCCTATGAGGGCTGAGAACCAAGGAAGGCAGCAAAATAATACTCAACAGCCATTGTCTTACATACAAACGAGGCCTGTGAACTGCGCATCAGAACCAGCTGTGGGCTTTAAAAATATACACAAGCCTGGGTCCCATCTCTGGCAGGTGTGCTCCAGGAAGTCACCGTGGGGACTGGACAGCCATGGTTTTAAAAGCTGCACAAGGATTTCAGATGTAAAACCTCAGCTGAGAACTGCATATCCCTCTGTGCCCCAGACAGCTGTAAGATACATGTGCATGGATATATGCAATAAATACATATATGCAGCAATTGCAATATATAGTCTATATCAGCAACCCACTTCTGGCTAGCTATCCAAAAGAATTCAAAGCAGGACCTCAAAGAGATACTTGCACATCCACGTTCATAGCAGCATTATTCACAGTAGCCAAGGGGTAGCAGCAACCCAAGAGCCCATCGACAGATAAATGGGTAAAGAAACTGTGACACAGACATATAATGGAACAGTTAGTGTGCTGCCTTGAGAAAGAAGGGAATTCTGACACGGGCTACAGTCCTCACCCAGAGTCCTTATGGGTGAACCACAAAAGCTATGCTGAGTAAAATAAGCCAGTCACAAAAAGGACAAATACTGTGTGATTCCATGCATAGGAAGTACCTTAAAGTTGTTAAAACTATAGAAACAGAAAGCAGAAAGGCGTTTACTAAGGGCTGGAGGGGAACTAGCATTTAGTGGGTACAGAGCTTCAGTGCTGTGAGATGGCAAAGTTGTGGCGATCGGTTATGCAACGGTGTGAATCTACCTGACACTGCCGTACACTTAAAAATGATTAAGGTGGGAAATTTAATGTTATGTGGTTTTCACCATAAATTTTAAAAAAGAGAAAGGTGCCAAGATCCTGTTTGAAAATCCTGCACTGTGGTTGACCAGTGCCCAGGCACCGCTCCAAACACGCGGCCCGGCAGGGAAGTGGCATCCGGGACAGGGAAAGGGGCGCAGTTATAATGTCAGCACTCACGGGCAACGTAGAGGGCAACTCTGTCGTTCTCTTTGTGAAGCAGGAGGTTTTCAGCATAGTTCAGACGACTGCCTTTGAACCACTCGGGGACATCCGCGACCCCTTTTGATGTGTCCACAACCTATAGAGAATGACAGCAAAGCAAGATACACACACGCGTGAGATCTACACCATGAATAAATGTCCGCGACTCCACTTCCCAGGAAGTCCAAGGCATCATTAACTGGTTTTATACACTGAACTGGCCTAAAGGCTTGAAACTGAAAACAGAAACGAATGCCCTGTGGCTCATACTACGTACGGTACTGTGTGTTTGACAGCTACTGAGAGCAGATCTTAAGCGGTCTCAGCACACACACACACACACACACACACACACACACACACACACACACACAAAGACTTAACAATGCGAGGTGATGGATGTGTTAATTCCACAAAGTACACATATCAAATCATCATGTCGTACACTTGAAACACATACAATTATACGCGTCAACTATTCCTCAATAAAGTTTAAAAAATTAATGTCAAGGGGAAACACCATCCCCGCTCATTTCTTTTTCAACAAATGTTTATTAAGCACCTAATTTATGAGAGATGCTGAAGACAGAAGGGAAGACAGATGTGGTGCCTGCCCCATGTCCCAGGCTCGGACCAGACACTTTGAAAACCAGAAGATCGAGCTCCAGGGCCCCCCTGCGCCCCCACAATTTCCAGAAGTTTGACCCTGGCCTCCTTTGTCAGGGACCGGAACCTTGACTCTCTTCTCTATGTGCCTACAGATGAAACTTACAGAACGGTTCACCCCATCATCAGACCAAAACCCCAATAAATTATACTTTGAATAACAGGACTCCCTTTCCCAGAGATTTACTGATTTACAACATAAGGAGTTGAGAAAAAAAAAAAAAGTCTCCAAAATCCAGGTTAAAAAAAATAAAGACACTACTGTTTAAAAAACAACCTGAATATACATAACATCACAACCACACCCTTTAAAGTGGTTGAGGTGGTAAATTTTACGTTACGTGTATTTTACCACAATTTTAAAACTTTTAAATAAAATAAAGATAAAACGATGCCTGACCCCTTGGGATGGTCAAGTTCCCGGGACTGGGCCTGGGTCCCCACATTGGAGAGCCCAGAGGTGGCAGGGTCTGCATGGCGTCCGTGACCCTGACACCACATTCTACCAAATCTCTAGGGCAATGACTTTCCCCCACTGACGTGGGCGGTTTAAAGAAGATAGGATTCGACAGTCCCAAAAACTGACACTTTATTTTGGAACATAACCATAGAAAAGGCAATTCATAAGCAAGTCTCTACTTACTTCATCGTACGTGCGCGAGCAGACAATCCCGCTGAATTTCCAGAACTCTGCCCAGAAATCTGAATAAGACTCAACTGACCAATGGTATAGGTCGCCGTAATTTTCTAAAAATAAAATAAAATGGCACAGAGCCCAGATTAATCTTAGGAGGAAAGTCTTACCAGTGCAATAAAAAGATGGACACGCCATTACGAGTGCGTCCTGAATGGTTCAAAGGCCTCTGATGAGAAATGGTCTTGGGGGAGATTTAATTTTCACTGAGGCACACCCCCCACCACTAATCCCCAAAAGGAACAGCAGCAATGAGCCAGTAGCTTTATATCTTAACAGCATGCCTCAGAACAAGGACTCCGGAGCCACAAGGGTTCAATCCTGGCCTGGCCGTTCACAATATTAGTTTCCCCGTCTGTAAAATGGAGATTTTAAACAGCAACCCCTCTTCCTAGGGCTCCTGGGAGAGTTTAAATGAGCACATGTGTCAAAGGCTTAGAATGGGGCCCTGCACACAATCACAACTCCATTAAGCGTTTACTATTATTATACCGTACAAACTCAGGACCCTAAACCGAAGAGATTTGAAAACCCAGGTCAAAACTGGAAGCTTGCTGATGACTTGTCATGCCAGCAACGACGTTGTGGGGAGTTTGGGAAATTATTTATATATTTTGATCTGTGAGTAAGGAATACATTCATGTGATTCGAAAGTACACAAGTGTACAAGGCTATAATGGTAAAAAGAAAAAGAAAAAGAAAAAGTCTCCCTCCCTCTTGGCCCACAACCATCTAACTTTTCTTGCCTAGATATTCCTTTGTGTGTTCTCAGAGATTTTATGTGTGAGTAAATCATTCCCTCTCTCCCACTTTGACATACATAGAAGCTCACTTCACCCCAGGCTCTAATCCTGGGAACCTGGGAAAAGTCCTGTCCTCCCTTGGGACCTTTTTAATCTCAATATATTTCAGTAGGATATACATTCATCTGCTGGTGCTCCAGGCCTAGGATAACAGCAGGAAGGTGACCAACAGGATGTCAGGAACTGGAAAAAAAGCATACTACAATGGCTGAGCTGAATTCTCTCACTGGTCCTCTCTGTTCCCAACTCTGGGGGGCGGGGTGGGTACACAGAGGAAGAGGCACCATGATCCCTGCCCTTCAGTAGTGTCACTTCTCAGTGGGCCCCAGTAATTGTCCCCAATCATGCTGGACTCGGGAGCCCAAGGAGGTGAGTGGCCGCTGAGCTGGGGCGGGCTGCGGCAGGAGGCAGGCTGGCCCTGGCAGGAAGGGCAGGTTAGGACACTGGGACGAAGCCAGGGGCCCAGGTAGAGAGCTGCGGCGAGCGGGTCTGCCACAGGGACAGAGAAGGAGCAACCAGGATGAAGTGGGGACATTCGGCCCAGAGATCGCACAGCCGAGATCAGCGGACAGGGTGTTTAGGGCTCCGAGCTCAAGAGAGAAAGAGACTCTGGTTCACAGTAATGATGGCTGCACCTCCTCCAAGCCCCCCAGGAGAAGCTGCCCCCGCTGTACACCATCTGCTCAATCCAGGGGTCACAGGCCAGGTCAACCAGGCACACAGGGACAGTGCATCTGGAGAGCTGGGGCCAGCCCTGACTCTAGAGACCAGGCTGGAGGACCTCAGACAGGCCACTTTGGGACGACAGCGGCTCCTTTCAAGGACGGAGGTGAGGATCCATAGAGCACGTTGCTCTAACAGCACACGCTCCGAGCTCGACTGTCTGGGTTCAGGGCCTGCCACTCTAACCGCATGATCGCAGGCAGGAAATTAACTTTCTCTGGGCCTCAGTTTCTTCCTCCACAAAAGGAACATAACAGCACGTTATCACTGCGAAGGCTGAATGAGTCAAAACACATAAAGCGCTAAGGACAGTGCTGGCAGCAAGTGCCGGAACGAGTTGTCACTCCATCATTTTGCAGGAGTGTGACGCATAACAGGTGTGTGACAGACTACGATAAGCTACGACATGGAGACAGGGATGCCAAGTACATAAAGTGTCGGTCCGTAGGAGCGTGCCACGTTCAGTCCAGAAGGGGGTCGGTGCCAGGCCCAGGGCGTCCAGAGAGGGCGCCTCCGGGGAAAACACACCAGACGAGCAGGCCCCGGGCTCCCCTCTCTCTTCCAGTTGTTTTTGTTTTTGTTTTTTAATCACCTTGGTCCTCACAAACTACAAAGGGTTCCAGCACCAAAATCCCCTCCTAATTGACACAAGAAAAGGGCCAGAGGCTTGAAATCCAGGCCTCCGCTGAAGGCTGAGCTCAAAAGCCCATCACAGAGCACGTCTCCAACAGCCAGGGACGCGCAGGCATCACAAGCATCCGAGAGGACAGCAGTGGATGGACTCTGAGCAGAGCGTCTTCCCCGTGGACAACTCGGACAAGTGGTCGGACACAAGTCTTCAGGCGTCTGCTCAAATACACCCACCTCAACTCACAGGCTGCAACCCAGGAGCCTAGAAAACGGGCCACGGGCACGTTTGGTCCAGTTCCCACAATGTTCATAAAGAACCTGAACTCACTGCCACCATGAAAATCACGGTTTTCAAATGGAATCCGGGGTTTCTGGCTTCTCCTGAGAAAACAGACTATCTGGGTGGGGTAGCTAGCCAGTGCCGCTCCTGGCATCTAGGCCGCTGTGCCGTCCCCTCCCCACGCTGCGCAGGGCTGGTCTGTGTAACCGGGAAATGTGGCTTGTGAGGCTCGATCATAAAAGACACTGCAGCTTCCGCCTTGCTGTCTTGGATCGCTTGCTCTGTGAGAAGGTCCTCTCTCATGAGGACACTCAATAGTCCCAGGTGGCAGGAAACACAACCTCCTACCCACAACCAGCACTGGCTCACTGCCATGTGAGGGAGCCCCCTCGCTCCTCCAGCCCCTGTCAAGCCTTCAGATGGTGGCAGCCTCCTCAGACCCAGAGCCAGGAGCCCGCAGCCGAGCCCCCGCCAGAGGCCTGAACCTACGAGACTGAGGGGTGCGCCATGTTTACTGCTGTTTTGAGTCGCTAAGTCTTGGGGTGATCTGTCATGCACAGTAGATAACTAATGCACTGTCACACCACACAGTGACAATCAGCTAGCGTGGGCTACCAGCTGCCCCGCCTGGCCCTTCACCCACACGCAAGAGGCAGCCTAATACAGTAGTCGAGAGCACTGATTCTAGAAACAGACTACAGCTCCAGCACTCACAGCCGAAAGATCTCCACCAAGATGCTGAGCTTGTTTTCTCAGCTGGGAAATGCGGTAACAGCCGCACCTCCTGGGCCAATCGCTGAGGATTAAGTATGTTAATACAGGTAAAGTGCCCAAATGGGGCAAGGCGTACAGAGAGCAGTCACTGAATGGTAACTGTTATTAATATCTGTCACCTGCCTGGGCCCTGCAGTCACTGGAGTTTGCAACCTTGCTTTCCACTGACCCCCTTTCCTCTCCACCTATGAGAATTCTGACCAGCCTCCACCTCCAAATCTCAGCTCAGGGTTTTGTGGGTGCTTATAAAGGCACCCTGACAGGCTCAGGGTGCAGTGAAGTACCGGAAGGAAGACAGCGCACTGCCCCGACATCTGACGCTCAGCACTCACACGTTGTGGCGAGGCCATTTTTCCTTTCTCCCCACAACTACACGTGAGCTATGTGAGGGTGGGGTCCCAGCCTTCTCCTGGCTGGCGCTCCATCCCGGCTGCTTGCCCACAGAGGTGACGTGCAGCTTGTGGTGTACAGAAAGACACTTGGCACGGTCCTTCAAAAGAGCGTGTACTGGGCGGCCGGTTGGCTCAGTTGGTTAAGGCATAATGCTCATAACACCAGGGTTGCCGGTTCGATTCCCACATGGGCCAGTGAGCTGCGCCCTCCACAACAAGATTGAAGACAATGACTTGACTTGGAGCTGATGGGTCCGGGGGAAAAACACAGTTCCCCAATAAAATTTATTTTTTTTAAAAAAGAAAGAGCATGTACTATAAAAGTGTCACTTCCCTCACTGCAGACAGTGGATACACACACACAGCATGTCTGTCCTCTGGAGCCCTGCGGAAGAGGCCCCATATCACATGCACATACGGGCAGGGCTACAGGCCACTCCTGAGGGGTCTGTGTAGCTGTGCAGGGGTCCTCAGTGAGCTCTGCTGGGAGCAGTGACAAGAACCAACCACCTATGGCCTTGCTGGTGGAAAGAATCTGGAACTCCACCGAGGGCCTGCCCCTCCTGATAGCAGGGGTAGGGCTTGGGGAGGTGGCCAGGCTGGGGAACCCTGGCCCCCCCATCCACCCTCAGGACAGGAGCCAGGCTGAGGCAGCCGGTGAGGATGTGTGCCTTGCTGTCTCTGCACATCCGGTCAATAGCACTGCTCAGAACGACACACTGGCTACTCACAGCCGGGACGAGTTCCAGGGTGCTGGCTTTATGCAATAAGAATGCCCACAAATAAATGAAAAGGCAAGGCAGGATGCATGTCCAAATTACATGCACTTGGGTGAGCAGAAGAAAGGAGAAAATGGTCAAAGAGAGAACAGCATCTGAGCTGGGTCGTAAAGCAAACGCCAAAACCTCCAGGGCCAGGCCTGTGGAAAGGAGGGAAGCAGGTGGGGAGTGGAGGAGAAGAAGCCAAAGCTCTAAACGCCCCCACGCCAAGGAAGGAGCCCCACTCAGCCCAGTCAATAGCCACCATGTGGGCACGCAGACCCCGCATCACAGGCCTTTGGGTTCCCAAGAAGCTGGAAGTCTTGCCTTTCCTACGCAGTCTCCCAGTGTGTGAGCCGCCCCAGCAAAGTCTGCTGGTCCAACCTGACCGACATGTCACCAGTCCACTCACCCTGAAGGAGGGAGACGAGTTTGGCAGGCAGACAGGGGGCAACCAGTGCTTGCTGGTACTCACTCAGCAACCCCCACAAACCAGGTGCAGGTGCACGCTGCGCCTGATCGCCTCCTGTCACCCACAGCCACCCAGTGACACAGGTGGCTCATTTTACAGGTGAGGAAACTGAGGCTTGGGCAGATCCGGTGACTTCCTCCGAACCACACAGCCAGTAAGAGTGGAGCCAGTTCAAAATCCAGGTGGTCGGAGTACAGATCGGTCTACCCACCTGACAGGCCGCCCTTCTGTGAAATAACTGTAAAGCAGCGGTTCTCAACCTGTGGGTCGCGACCCCTTTGGGGGTCGAACAACCTTTTCACAGGGGTCGCCTAAGACCATCGGAAAACAAAAAGATACTTACATTACGATTCATCACAGCAGCAAAATCACAGTGATAGAGTCGCAACGAAAATAATGTTATGGTTGGGGGCCACCACAACATGAGGAACTGTATTAAGGGGTCGCGGCATTAGGAAGGCTGAGAACCGCTGCTGTAAAGCATCAGGGCTAGACGAGCACCAGGAGAACCGTATTATATCATTGCTGGCAAAGGAAAGAGGGTGGAACCAAGGCAAGGTAAACACGGAACAGTGGTCCCGCTCTGGGCTCTTCTTGGAAATCAAGCCTGTTCTCCCCCAGTCCAATACACGTTCACTTCCTACTACAGAGTAATAAGACCCCTCTGTCTCCAGGCTGCTCAGTCCTAGTGAGCAGGACGGAGGGAGAGGGAGAGAGCTGGGTGAGCTAAAGGAAGGGGCTGGGTGGAAGCTACGACACCACCGTGCTGCGGAGGGTCTGGAAGTTGCCAGGTGGCACCCATCTGCAATTCCAGGGTCAACAAGGAGCCACTGTGAGCGTCTGAGCCAACGAGGGGGGAGGGAGGGGAAGCAGGAAGCAGGAAGGCCAACCAGTGTTCAAGGAAGAGCGCCCCAGGAGAGGTGCGGGCACTGGGGGCGGGTGGGGGAACAAGGTAGGGCTGCTGAGGGAGAGACACCCTGTGCCAGCCAGGTGACTCAGGCCACCGTGTCTGAGAGGCTGGCTGAAGGAGAGTGATGCCTCCGACCAGACACGGGAGTCGCTGCCGCGAACTGAGGCGGGAGAGGGGAGGAAAAGCCACTTGAGTTGAAAATCCCTCGGTGGGGAGGTCCAGGAAGTAGGTGAACAAGCCAGCCAGAGCTGGAGGAAAAGCACAAGCAAGCAGGCGCGTCTCACCCAGAAAAGGGGCCCTCCTTTGCCCAGCTCACACCCAGCCGGGAGGTTCCTGGGGGCCCCTGACGAGCTTCTGCTTGGGGCTGGGAGTGTGAGCATGAGGGGACGGCGTTCGCCCCCATCGCAAAGGAAAGCTCCCACCTGACCGTCCTTCCCCCAGGCGCCCGGAATTCCATGCTGGCTTTCTAGCAGGATCAGCCGAGGGAGGGGGGAAGGGGGCGGGGAGGGGGGAGGCTAAGAAGGGACAACACTAGGTACTACCGGCTGCCAAGTGACCCCCCACAAACAGGACTAGAGCAGGAAGTCAGACCCTGGGTCCGGGAGGAAGGCCCCCAGGCTGGAGTGCAAGACCCCAGGACCACCTCACCTCACAAGCAGGAACCTCCTGAGCAAAAGGCCGCTCAGTGCACAGGGGTTCCAAGACCAGACGGGGGACCCTCCCAGGGAGAAGGCGCCCCACATGCAGGGAGATGCTGCCGTCAGGAGTCCAGCAGCCTGAAAGCAGAGGAGGTGACGCCCCGCAGGGACAAGGGGGCAAAACCCACCCCCACCCCCAGTCAGAGGTGCCCCAAATCCAGTGGCTCCTCCAACCCCCGGAAGAGGGAAACAGCGGGAGACCATTCCAACGACTAGGAGAGAGACCCTGCCAGAAACGCCCAGGAAAAGGGCGCGTCCCGGCCCCAGGAGCAGGGCCCCCCTCCGTCAGGTGGTCCCTCGGACCGAGGGAGGTGGCCTGGGAGCCCCGGGCCGCACGCGCACTCACCCAGCGCCAGGCCGCAGGCGGCGCTCACGGCCGCCCGGAAGCGGTCCATCAGCGTGTTCTTCTTGCTGTCAGGCTCCCACATCACCTGGCACTCCAGGATCTCTCCCCGCCCGGACCGCGGCTCCTTAGACATGGCTGCGGCGGTAACTACCGGGGGGGGGGGACCGGAACCGGCAGGGGCGGCGGCGACGGCCGGGGACGCTGAGGAGGCCGGGGACGCGTGCCGGCGGGACGCGCGACTGAACGAGACGCGGCCGCCCCCGTGAAGACACCCGGCGAGCCCCGCCCCCGCAGGCCCCGCCCCTCCCAGGAGAGCCCGCCCCTCTGCGCGTGTAACCCTCCGCCGCGGCACTCCTCGCAAAGGAGTGCTGGCCGCCGCGCCCCGCGCCTCCGGGACTCAGACCCCCGCTCGCGGGAGCGGGGCGGGTGGGGCCACGCAGGCGCGTTGGGCCCGGGCTTCCCGCCCTCACCTGGAACTCGAAGTGGATAAACCAGCCCCCGGAAGCCGGGAGCCAGGCGCCGCTGGCTCAGTCCTGGGTTCATTCATTCACTTTTGTTCTCACGGCAGATATTTACCGAACGCCTCCTGGGTACCAGGGTCTGTGCGGGGCTTTGCGGAAGCAGCAGTGAGCAAAGTAAAAGTCCTACCCTGCCCACCAGGAGGTAAAAGGAGAGGGGCAGGTGTGGGGAGGAGGGGAGACAGACAATGAACAAATAAATACATCGTATATATGTCGTCCATAGTGTAAGGCATACACAGTATGCCAGTGGGGATCATAATAGAGTAGCACGTGTAATATTATTTGTATACTAAAAGATACGAAGTGCTATGGGCAGAAATAAACCAAGGGGAAGGGGAAGTATCATGGGAGGAGTGTTTCCATTTAAATAGGGTTGTCAGGGAAAGTCCCATTGGAAGAGGTGACTTCTACCAATGACCTGAAGAAGGTGACAGGCGCGAACTATTCAGTATCTGAGGGGAAAGTTCCCCGGCAGAGGGAACAGCAAATGCGAAGACCCTGAGGCAGGAGGGTGTTGGACCTGGTTAGGGACAAACAAAAGGAAGAAAATGGGATTTGGGATAGATTTTTGAGGGTTTATTTATTGTACTCGGCTGCACATTGGCACCGTACGAGGGATCTTTTCATATTCCTTGTCATAATTTATTCTCACAGCAACCCAAACAGCTCCTCCCAAGTACAATGTTTTGTTTTGGGTTTTTTTCTGACAGTGTTGAGATTTGATGACTCATTCTCCCACCTCCACCACTTAATCTTAAGCAGTTCCCATCTCCTAGTCACCACAAATAAACATAGATTCTTCGTCAACTGTGATTGAAAAAATAATAATTTTTGAAAAGGAAAAAAATAAATATAGATGCTAACTTAAAACAGGGTGCTTCCTATATAAACATGACTTCCAGAATAGCCCCCTCCCCTGACCTCCAAATTCTGGGTCCAGCCCTCGCTGTTTGTCTCCAAGTTACCGTCTTTGTGGAGCCGTGAGTCCATCTCGACCCAGAAGGAGATGCATTTTTGAGCGAGTCATGTATTTATGTTCATTCTTTTAACACGAGGATGCAGATTCCACAGGAGTAAAATCCTTGTCAAACTAGTTCACCGCAAGATCCTCAGTAGGAGCCAAGAAACATTCATTCATTCATTCATTCATTCAGAAATGCCTAGTGAGTGCCTGTGTGAGTTAGCCAATGGGGGCTCCGCTGTGTAAAGCATGGACCCCGCCCTCAAGGGGCATGGAAGTCCAGAGTTTGACCAGTGGGTTGACCAATTCTCATGGAGCAGGGGAGGGCTGGGTTTATGCACCTGACAGCCACCTGATTCATTCTTAATTCCTGCAGCTCAGCCCACCCAACCAGGCACAGGGCAACCCAAGGGAGAGATAAGCTACAGCCAAAATAATCAGGTACTTTCTCATTACCTATATGACACTCTCCCAGACACACATGAGATTTCGGAGGAAACAATAAAATCTTAGGGGGAAAAAAAAAAAGAATCTGGGTACCCACACTCCTTGGAAATTCTTTGCATAACCCCTCAGGGATCAATTCGCCTCAATTTAAAGACCACTAGTCTAAGCCAATCACAGAGCACCTTTTTCTCCTTTACCAATGATTGGCCCGTACTCATAAGACCGAATTCTAGCCAATGAGACCAAAGGGGAGTGGAGGGGGCTGGAGTGTTAGCCCTCCCCCGATAAGCACAGTCCTTTTGCAGGGAGCTGTGGCAGCTTTCAGTGACCCTGAGAAACAAGGTTGAAGAACGTGTGTAAACAGGATGGCGGGGCAGAAGGAGGAAGACCATAGACGCTCTCGCTGAGCTGCTGGAGCAAGTCTCTGGCTAGCCCTGGGCTACTGGCTGAATAAACATTGACTGTCACCATGGCTAAAGCCCTTGGGAGTTGAGCTGTCATAACTCGCTGCCAAAAATCATTCTAACTGAAACGACCACCAAAGGTAATAACACTTGTGCTTTCTCACGGGGGCTTTTCTTCACTCTGGTACGTTCATCACCCACGTGCAATGGACCAAGAGCCAATCCTGCCCCTCACGACAATTTTAAAATTATTTTGAGAGCCATAAAACAAATGAAATCACCATTATGTGAATAATATCCTTTAAAAATTTTTATAAATGACACGACAATAGTTTTGTTTTCATTTTCAGTTTTACTTCAGAGCCACATGTACGTACCCAAAGAACCACATGTGGCTCGCGAGCCACAGTTTGCCAAGCCCTGGCCTAGACCAACTGATCTGAAGATGTGAAGCCATCAGCAATAATTAGATCCCCAAGCCAGGACCACTCTATCACAGCTCCTGTGTCTCAGGGTTCCACAAGGCCAGGGAGGACAAGAATGGAAGATTCTCCACCTAAACAAAGTGAAGCATCCAACCCAGTGCTCATCCTTGGGAAAAACCTTCCAGATAGAGAGCATAGCAAGTGCAAAGGCCCTGAGGCATGCTTGGCACAGTCAATGGTAGTAGCCATATAGGTCCTTGTGAGGCCAAGGGGTAAGGACTTTGGATTTTATTCAATGTGTGATTAGAAGCCATTTGGAAAGTCTTGAGTAGGGGAATGATGTGACTTACATTTTGAAAGGATTATTCTAGCTGTTGTAATAGAGTGAATGGGGCTAGGTTTGGAGTAGGTGGAGTGCTATCAGGGGGCCCTTTTGGGGGGATTTTGCAGAAGTTCACATGGGGTGTCATGGTGGCTTGGACTAAGGTGGAAAGGGGGAGATGATGAGAAGGGATGATTTTATATATATATATATATATATATATATATTTATTTATTTATATATATATATATATATATATATATATGATATCTACCTACGATGTATGTACCTATATATAAGGCAGAACAAAGTGATATACTGCTGGATTAGATAAGCAGCCATTGGAGCCCAGATGAGATGAAAACACATTCTAGCATAAAGTTGATTTTCCCAAAGTCATAACCAAAGGAGTAATGAAGTAGAACCACGGGGAAAGTTGAGAAGACCAGAACGGGCCAGAAACAGACCTATCTCCATTTCCAGGAGCTACTAGCACAACAGGCTCTCCCAGGCCCATCCAGAAGAGAGGTGAAGGCTTGATTCCAATCAGAGGCTCAGCCAAGTTCCTTGAGTTTATCAGGCCAAAGGGTGTGTTTAGGATTTCTTTATCTGGCTTCCATGGCGTGGTTGCCTCAACCCTCCTAGTCTGCCCACATGGCTATGGCAGTTGGGTGAATGCCAGTTACTGAGGACCACATGTGCCCAAGGTGATATCTCAAAATACAATCTCTCCATCTCCTCTCCAGCCCTAAGGAGAAAGCAGAGGAGAAAATGTGGCCACAGAACCCAGCATCTTCAACAGGCATAGGGATAAGTAAGTGATGGGTAGTCGCCCTACTACACAACAGCGAAAAGGGATGCTTTACAAATGAGCCAGCATGGTGAACCTCAAAAAAAATTAAAAAATTAAAAAGCAAGCCACCAAAGTATACCAACTGCATGTTTCCTTTTACAGAAGGGTCAAAGACAGGCAAACCCCAAAATATCTTGGTTAGGAATATTTATATGTTAGAAAAACAGAAAAGCAAAGAAATGCTTACCAGCTGTCAGGGCACTGGTTTCTTCAAAGTAAAGTAAAGGGGGTGAGTTTAGGGAGGGGCTTCCAAGATACTGGCCTTGCCCTATTAAACTGGCATAGGTACATGGTGTGCATTTATGTCATTCTTTAAACCGTATGCACATACTCTATTCAGTCTTTTTGTATGCTTCATATAGTTCACAATTAAAAAAAAAAATAACAGCAGGCCCCCAAACTCTGATGACATTAATGACTGTTTTACTTCCCCAAGCCTGGAGTGAAAAATTGAAAACAGACTAAAAGTCCATCAACAGGGGAATGGCTAATAAAGTATAGCATAGTCCATTCCTTGCAATGCTATATGCATCCGTAAACAAGATTCACCTGAAACGAATAATTAAAAAAAGATAAAATAGATCTATAAACAGCATTGTTCTCAAAGAGATTGAGGAAGAAAAGCAAATTGCAGATTAGTATCTACAGCTGTAAAAAAAAATACATATAAGACATCATTTGTATTAAAAATATATATATATTATACATATATTACGTGTTACCAGATGGCAGGCACAGAGTAAATATTTGTTACATGAATGCATGTCCTCTACAACTGTTATCTACCACTGTAGGCTCAGGGCAAAGGACACAGGCTACTTTCTTGCTGCTTTCTCTATGACAGTCACTCACCTACACCTTGGTGATCTAGTATAAACAGGGTTTTAGAGAATATTATTATTATTAGCCTAGAGCTACAGGTGAAACAGGTATCCTGGCCAACAGTGGCCTCAATTTATCCCACAGAGATTGCAACCAGCCATACAAGCCATCTACAGCTTGCTCTGGGCAGGAAAATGTGACCAGATGAGGTGACTTCGCACCCTCTGGCTTGATTTGGCTTTCTTCTCCGATGTGAATATGAAGCTCTCGCTGCAGAAGCAAGGCTTCCAGAGAATAAGATCATGAAAAATACAAAGTCCCCAGTGTATTCAGCTGGCACATATGGTGAAGGAAGGGGCTGAATGGTGTAATAAAATGCAAAGAAATCCCATTTTCACACACACACTTCCCTTCCCTTTTTAATACTATACTCTCTCCTTGCACAAAGTAAGCGGCCTGCAGCAGGCTGCTCCTGTTTTAGAAATTTTCCCCATGTTTTAGAAATTTTCCCTCATTTCATTGCATGTGGGT